AACCTCCCAATTAGAGTCATAAACTTCCTAGTAAATGAAGTTTAGCAGCCTTAAAAATACATATTTGTGCAGACTAAAATTCAGAAATTCATTACTACAACCGTAAAAGTGTTCTAAACAACACTCAAACGTACGCAGCCCAATTTTTTTCAGAAAAGAAAAATTTACACTCAGTTGAAACAAGAATCAAACTCTATTCTGATTCGTAGATGATCAACAAAAAGAATCAATTAGCACCAATGTTCAATTAACATGGGCACATGAATTAGTGTAGTGAAGAAGCAAAATAATGGAACGCCATTAAGAAAAAAGTAAAGATGAGTAATTTCAAGTAGACAAATACAGAATTTTACAGCAGCAGCCATGTGGGCCAGTCAGTATTCTATTTCCATAAGAAAAATGGCGAACTCACGAAGAAAACGAGGAATTGATATCTACGGTGCACAATTGGGAGAAAAGTAAAACATATTAATTTAAAAGAAATGTGTCATAATCATTGGATGGACAACAAATTAGATAGTCAATTTTAAATCGCAAATTTCAACTTGAAAATGAGAGGAGGAATCAAACTCTGAAATTTAGCGGGTACAGCCTCTCTGGCCCATTCAGTTCCATTTTGTGGACCCCATCATCTTAAGTGGAACTTTTGATTAATGAATATTCGTCAAATTAATAATTTTGCTTCAATATTAAAATTCTTTTAATCTCAACTTGAGTTAGTGTACTATATTAATATCGGAATAATACATAAATAAGGCCTTAACTATAGTCCAATTTGATTTTAAGAGAAAATGTTTGACCATAATCCAATTCAATTTTAAGAGAAAGGGTTTAAAAGTTCAAATTCGGATGATAAATAATAGGGAAGAGTTCACATTTCAAGCGTTAAGTTTACCTCAATTCAAAAATCAAGTAGATACTTTTAAAATTCAAAAATCAGGTACATATTTAATTAATTAAAAATATTTATTAAACATAGATAATAAAGTTATAGTTATACGACAAATGATGACATATTCATAATTATATTTCACAGATTTATTTATTGGTCAAATATCGTTAAACTAATTCATCACATGATTATTTCGTAGTCAAAAATCAAAAATTTCGTAGGTCACATATTGTTTCAAGATCACAGATCATTTAAATTACAAGGTCCCATATGTCATAGTTTATCGATCACAAATTATTTTAGTCACAATTATCAAATTTTAAATTTGAGTTGGTCACAGATAACCAAATGGTTGGTTACGGATCAAATACTAGTTCATATTTCTTGCCACCACCGCCACTATCCACCACATTCACCCTGTCCCTGTCGTCGACCACCATATGCCGTCGACACGACCAGTCTACCACCATTGTCATAGATTCCAAAAAGTTGGTCACAAATTCCAAACACTCCACCATCGATCCCGATCTAGCACTAATCTTAATCACAAATCACACCACCCAATCACCGTTTGCACTACACCACATCAACCACCACACCATCGCATCACCAGACCCTATCCCGACCCATTCCACAACAATACGTGGTCACAACCACTGCTCCCCCTGCCACAACACTATCACAACCACCGCCAACACCACAGCTATCCACTAGCCATTGTACCAAGCCAATATGGCCACTAGCAGCTGCCTGCTCTCCTTCAACATACCAACAATACTAAACCACAAGCACAACATCAAAACCACACCAAATTTCTCCACTCCGCTAAGCAGATTAGATCGAAAAGGAGGATGAAATCACCTCCAAAATTGCTATCAGCTGTCCAAAAATCCCCAAACCCCTCCCTAAATTTTCTACAGCATTTCGGGCAATGATCTCATGAGTTCGCAGCAGCTTCAGCACCGTTGTTCGACGCCACTACCAACGATAGAGTGTGCAACGGTATCTTAGTGCCACTCAACGTCGTCTTCCAGTGGTGTTGCCTTGTCTTCCAATTGGTGTGCTACGGTCGAAGGAATGGAGGCGATCGTCGAATGCTAGTGTCACGTTGCATCGCCGCCGACGCGACATCGTATCTAGTGTGTTATTGTCACTAGCAGTAAAGAGAGAACAGAGAGGGATATAGAGAGAGAGAATGGTGAGAAGAAATAATTAGGGTTTGGGAAGTGGGGATATTGGGGGTGGGTGGTTTTATAGTTAGATTAATACCTAATATTTGCACAAATAAATTTCATACTTGATTTATGAATTGTATTTCTTAAAGACCTATTGTCATGTAATTTTTTTCTAAATAATATAATAAATATCCATCATAATGTCTTGACCCACTCCAATCTTTCTCTCTCTCCAATCTCTCTACAAACTCGCACAGCCACAATCATCGACATCCACCCAGAGTCATTCCCTCTCACACCACAGTGGTAGTGCAGACTTGTAAGGACCCTTGATTTAAGATCTATGAGTACAACATCTTAAGTGTAGCAACTTATTTGGACTTTTAATTTAGTAAAACATCGACGAGAATTTATGGATTATCTAAATGAACTTCAATTTGGACAATCGTCTTGCATTAGAATGATTGAAGGAATGAGATTGGCATCGTGATTTAAACTACCATAGAGAATTGGTTTGTCAATGTCGTGTAAATTTGATTCAAAAGTTTGATTTATCATCAAATTCAGTGTAAATTGTAAATTTTTTACCGTGTGATTTAAATTACATGTAAATTGTTACTTGTGATGTTGATCTAATAGCTTGTAACCAGTTCTTTTGGATCTTTGACCTTCAGACGTTGATCTATTACATGTGATATTGATTTAATGGCATGCAACCAATTTTCTTGGATTTGTGACAAATAAATATTGATTTGTTACCTATGAAAAATGACTTATGACCAGTGAACTTGAATCTGTGACCTATTATCAGTACACATACATGTGACAATCTAATCTATGACCAGTTAACATTGATATTTGATCTATACAATATGACCCGTAAATTGTGAATGATGAACTGTGACCTGTGATTATAAATTAGTGATTTGTGACCAATCCCATTTGATATGTGACCTATGAACATTGATCTGCGACCTATACACAATGACATGTAGCCTATAGTATGTGCACGTTGAACTTTGATACTTGGATTATAACTTGTAACAAGAAAAACATATAACGTGGGCAAAATTGATCACGTATTATTGCACAATCACAAATCACAAATTTTATAGGTTACAATTTCTTTACCACAATTTATCAAATTTATAAACCAAGTATTATTCCTCGACTACAAACTACCTTTTCGAATGCATATTATTTATTGGTCACAAATTAACCATTTTATTAGTTACAATCACCTAAATAATTGGTTATGAACCCTCTTTATACAATTCAAATCCAAACTAACCTAATCCTATCACCAACACCACTGCCACCAATAACATTACTACTATCTCCACCACCATCTGTACCAGAACCACCATCATCGCCAATGCTACCACCACCTCACAACAATCACTGCCATCACCACCATCACCAACAATCACAAACTCCATTTTCACCATACTACAACTACCAACAAAAAAAATAAAAAATAAAAAAAATCCTAAACTCGACACTTCCACCACCTTGAATCCACTAGAAGATAGATAATGGCTAAGCAATAGATCAGAACAAGAAGAAATTACACCAAAACCATGGTGAGTGTTGTTAGAGAGACAATCTTAGCACCACCATGCACGATGCTCAAATCACCACGACGAGTGCCAAACAGCGACAATCTAAAAACTTCGATATAGCTCTCAAATTAGCACATCACCAAACACCCCATTCACCACCACACCACATCACACCATCACGTTGTCACTGCTTCGTGCACAATGGCAAATCATTCACCTTTGTTTTGTGCATGCAGCGACACCTCATTTGTCGCTACAATTCGTGTGCAATGACGATGGGGCTCCACTGCGTACTAACTATAGCGATACTAGGCATTGCATACTGTACTTGTCGTCAGGCTCACGAGTGTTGTTGCAGGCCGTGAAGAGTTGCGAGAGAATGAGTGGGTAAAGAGGCATCAAGAAATGAAGTGGATGAAGAGATATTTGTGAAAATGTTTTAGGGTTTGTAGGGTAGGTGAGGACAAGGGTATATATATAGATTAATTTATAATATTATCTATTAATATTGAAATGTGAAATTATCACTTGATTTTTGAATAACCAAACCTTGAATTTGTTTTTTTTTTTGAATTGTAGTCTTTAAAAACATGTGGCTGTGTAATTTCCACAATTAATAATCTCATTAAATGCATTAGATAATTTTTTTTCGTGATTCTTTAAGGCCCTATGAATATGTAAAATAATAATTGCTTAAATTCATAAAATTTCATATTAATATAAGTTAACAAACTTTTAATTTGACAACATTTTTTTCAAAAATGTTGTGTGCGCCTTTTTGTGTGCTTACAGATTAAATTTTGAATTTCACCACATTTAATATTTTGTTTTCAAAAATTTCCTACATGTATTACGGTAAAATATAATACAAGTTATAAAAATATAAAATATTCTATAAATTAATAACCTCTCTAAAATAATAAATTTTCTTGGTCCTAACATTATTATTCTATAGAGGTTTTATAGTAAGAGACCGTTGCTCCTACTTAGAAATTTGACACACTTATTTGATAAATAATTGTTACCTTTAATTTAAATCAATCCAACGTTCAATATATATATCACTAAAATCATGGTAGAGTTTGTTGTAATCACTTGAGATCCATAAGATATTGAGCGTTGGATTGATTTAAATTAAATGTCACGATTGTTTCTCAAATAAGTGTGTAAGGAATGGTTCCATTTATATTATATACTGATACTATTTGAGTAATAAGAAACTAGTTTTTTCTTATACAGAGATTTTTAGGACTGTACTATCGATTCTAGATTAATGAAAACAATTCTAAAGTTTCAATTAATATATTTATATTAGAAATTATGGTATTCCCCTTTCTCAAAAATGGGGACATTATTAAAGCAAAATATTACTTTGTTCTTCATAGTTATTTACTTAATCAATGAATAAAAGCATACTTTAAATCGAAATCATGGGAAGCGGTTCTTCGTACTTTTTATTTCAGAATATTGATTCATACTTATGTCTAACCTATATTTTTCTTTTCATTTTATTGAGAAAATATTTTTCATATTTCAAAACAAACTCACTAGAGTCCGTTTGATTGCAAGAATGAAATTTGGATGGAAAGAAAATAAATTTCAAGAAATTTAATTGTCTAGAACTTGTTTTATTGAGAATTGTCAATTAATGAAATTGCCAATTAAATGTGTTTGATTAATATAATTTTTGACCCGAAAATGTTACTTTTTTTTTTATCTTTTGATGTTCATTTGACTTTGTTTTTCATGAAAATTGTCAACTAAAGAGATTGAATTTGTTACAATTATGGATAAAATTTGTTTCCATTATCCAAAAAAAAAATAAAAAATAAAAATTGGAAACTGATTGTCCACCCAAACCAAGGGAATTAAGCCCCCGTTCGGCCCCATTATTTTCAAATTTCAATGGTTGGAATAGTATTTTTTTGAAAAATGTGTGGTTAAAAAGGAATGAAAAGTTTTTTATTTGCGTGTAATATTATTTTATGAAAAATTGTGTGGTTGAAAATAAAAGTGAAAAAATAATGAGAAGTAGAATGGGGGCCAAACGGGTTAAAACTCCACGAAATCAAAGAAAAAAGGGTGGGGGTAGAGAAAATCAATTGCCAAGAAAATTATACCAATCAAACAAAGAAAAAGTTGTAAAATGGAAAATTTTCATGGAAAATTTGTTGCATCAAACAGGCCAAAGAAAATGAGAGGAGGAAGAATCAGCACGGAAATTGACCCATTTCTATGGACCCACATCATTATTTCCGGATAATTTGCGTGAAGAAAATGGGCAAACAGGGAAGGAAGAACAGTAGAAGGCCAAGTCATTTTTTCTTATTTTAAATTAAGGAGTTGGGTTTATATTATTTTTTTATACATTTCACCAATCAATCAAGAGAATTTGATTTTGCTTTCAAAAGGAAAGTAGTAAAATAAGCTGTAACAATTTTCCACTCACCATTAGTTCTGGCATTGAATTGATACTATGTCCTTGATTGGTAGATTTAAAATCAAATTTTTAGTAGATTTTGATTAAAAAAAATGATAAAATGTATGTTTGACAAATTATGGATCCCACAAAACATGTGGTCAAAATTAATTATTGACTTTAACTTAGATTAAAATCTAGATTTTATTACATTGAGATTCAAAACTTGTCTTTATCTAATCTTGTTTAATATACTATACATGTGATCCCTTTTGACATAATAAAAAATATTCTACTAAGAAGTGTTTCGTCTGCTACAAAAATCCCACATTCTTCTCTTTCGATATACTAAACATATATTA